TTTAATAAAATAAAATAATATATATATATATATATATATATATATATATATATATATATATATATATATATATATATATATATTAGGAAATACTGTGGAAAAAAGCCTTGCTCCGTTAATAATCATTTAAGAAATATATAAAAAAAAAATAAAAAAAAAACAATCACAGGAGGGCAAATAATTCTGACTTTAACTGTACTCTAATTTTGAATGTATACATTTAAATGTGCCCTATAATGAATTAGACATACTGTGGGCCTCAGACATCACTGTTTTCTTGTTTTTTATGTAAATTACATGAATGTAAAACCCAAGTGGACAACAGGCCAATCAGAGAACAAAACAAACTGTGATGAGAATAACGGCCCATGCCCTCCGCATTTTGTATGTCTACTTCAGGTCATTCATCCGGACCTGATGAGCAGCCATGTCATCAAGCTCTGAGATCATAAAAATGCACGCCTCAAGCTGTGTTTGATAAGCAACGACGTTTTCTAGTGAGAAAACATCGATCATTTTCCTCCCTTAGTTATTTTAAGAGTACATTTCACTTACTATGTATGTGGGACTTTTATTTTGAAAATGTGAGCACCAATTTGTTTACGGTGCCATACTGGGCATTTAAAACACGAAGCACATTCAAACTGGCCTCAGGACACAAAATGCAAGATTTACAGACAATACATTTTTTTATCCCCACTCTAAAGATGCATAAGGCATGTTTAGTTGCATCTTTTGTTAATTTATCACATTTTTTGTGAAATTTGATGCACATGTTTCAACAAAATCATGTAGACTGCTGAATCGTGTCTAATGACTCTGCTCAAATGTCATTTGTTCATGCAGAGGTTGAAATTAATTCCTGGTGTGCCATACATCTCTATCACTCTCTTTTGTCAAGTTTAATTATAATTTAGCCTTTATCCACAACAGATCTGGTAAGCAAAATAGATTAATGTTGCTGTGATTGGGTTTATATGTGTCCGTGGTCAGCGTACATCATGCTCTCTGTGTGTGTGTGTGTGTATTGACCCTATTCTAAAATGCGGAAGTGTGCCTGTTTTTGTGATTGTTTTAGAACTTCTGATTCAGTCAATTATGGGAGAAATGACAAGGAATAATAAACGTAAGAAAACGAGTCAAACTACTTGCTCTACAAACAAATGTTTGCATAACTATACAGACCAAGTAGAATAATATAATAAGGAAACATCAGATTGTAACATTAAACAGCGAAACAAGCAGTTTTTATGTCAAAAATAAATGGAAGTGAATGAGACCGGAAGTCTCGAGCCAAAAAGATTCAAATGGCTGCGCCCACTCGTCGGCGAAAAATAAGGTGAATAAGAGTGGCACGTCAGAGTGGAGCTCATTAACATTCATGCTATAAACCATATATGGTCAATCATGGACCTCCTAACTCTATGGGTATTTTATGGAGTAATAAATAAGCTTATAAAAGCGTTTCTGGAGATTTTTTGAAATTGCCAAAGCAATAAACCTACCATGTAGATATCACAGAACAATTTAATTTACTAAACCTATGCAGTATGTGGCACCTTTATAAAAAAATAAAAAATAAATTAGCTGCAGTTCACAAAATGACCACTTGGGTCACTATTAACAAAAATTTTTAACCTTACTGTTAGAGTTTTTTTTTTTTTTAAATCAATATAATCTCAAATCTAACTGCTGAAAAATACACGTGAAAAAACAAAAAACATGTTTGTTTTTACACATATTTAAGCAGCAAATTGGCATAACGCGCATGACGACACTAGGTGAGGGTTAAACTTGTTAAACTGCTGTTAAACACTGTATGACTGCAATCACACTCCTTTGTATTCCTGAAATAATGACAATGATAATTGCCGACTGTATTTAATAGCTCCTAGAGAAAAAGTCGCTCAGGCAATCAGAGTTAGCGAGACGCATTCAACACTCGTCTTGATAACACAGCGAGACAACCTGGAACGAATTATGAAGATGCTTTCTTAATTTGCCCAAATATAATGTCTTACGCTTTTCCAAGCTCATATTTTATATTTATGAATTAAAATCAACGTCTTTTTCTTCCCTTAAAAAAATACTATTCATTTTGTGAGCTAATTGCTTTGTTTTCCGAGTGTTACATTTCCATAAATATGCTTCCTTTTTAAATGACTTGTGGGGAGAAAAAAAATGATATCCATTATTAATGATTGTTTCAACATTTCCCCGAGTCTTTTCCATTTAAATTATTTTGAGACCAAATAAATTATTCAAAGTGTTACAAAACAGTTTTCCAGTAGAGGAACCACAGCTGCATATTAAACAATTCATTGATATTTCCCTGCACTTTCACAGCGATGCTTTTTCTCCCACCATACGCTAACTAATAACTAGATCTCACAACTGGCGTGAGCAAAAATAGCATGACAGATGCAAAAGAAAGTTGCTCCCGATTTCCATCCCATCAAGTCGTACTTTATATTTCATCTTTATATATAGATAAACGGAAGCGGGGACTGTGAGGCTGCGTGGAAAGAGATGAAGTTCAATGGCTCGGCTCCTAGTAAAGAGGAATGAAGGCTGTAAAAGCTGTTTGTCTGGATGTACCTCTTAAATTTGTAGATGAGAAATACGGCTAAACCCAGGAACACCACGGACAGAAGCATCAGCATGGCGGAACTGCTGTGTCTTGGGATTGAGTCCACCAGTGGAGCTGTAACAGAGACCAAACATAAACCTTATTGAACACCATAACTAATATTATATCATGCTTCTTATACACTACCTGACAAATGCTGAGTCGCCTATCCAAGTTGTAGAAAGAACAAATAATAACTTGACTTCCAGCAGATCGTTTGATATCAGAAGTGGCTTATATGAAAGGCAAAGGCCTCTAGATTATGTTTGTTTTACCAAAATAGAATATGATCATGCCTTGATTTTTAATGATTTAATTAGGACAGAAAGGTTTTAATTTTTAATTTTAGAAATATTGTACAGTATAGAATATAAAGTCATGGTGCAGTGGGAAAAGAATAATATTGTGTTTGATTCCTATGAGCATGGAGGATGCCTCCTCCTTCTTCTTACCCCAGACGCTTAATAATGTTCATGTCTGGTGAGTGGGCTGGCCAATCCTGGAGCACCTTGACCTTCTTTGCTTTCAGGAACTTTGATGTGGAGGCTGAAGTATGAGAAGGAGCACTATCCTGTAAAGAGTTTGCCCTCTGCTGTGGTTTGTAATGTAATGGGCAGCACAAATGTCTTGATACCTCAGGCTGTTTATGTTGCCATCCACTCTGCAGATCTCTCGCACACCCCATTACTGAATGTAACCCCAAACCATGAGTTTTCCTTCACCAAACCTGACTAATTTCTGTGAGAGTCTTGGGTCCATGTGGGTTCCAATAGGTCTTCTGCAGTATTTGTAATGATTGGGATACAATTTAACAGATGATTCATTAGAAATATCTTCCTTCTGCCACTTTTCCAACTGATCAATTAGAAGTCAAGTTATTATTTGTTGCTCTTACAACTGGGATCGATGACAAGACTTTTGTGAGGTAGTGTACAATAATAACATTAAAAAGTGTTGGAACATTAAGGTGTTTGCTTGATGACAGCAAAGACATTTGATTGATGGGAAGTGATAGTGAAGATATTAATTAAACAATTTTAAAATGTTGTATTTGTAAATAAATGAACTTTTAAAGTGACAGAGTACCCAGAAATGGAAAAATAATAATTTAAAATGGTTAAATTGCTCATGCTTAGGTCATTCAAGATAAATTGTATAAAACAAATAATGCAACATTAACAAAAGAAAAATTTAATTAAAGTAAAATAAAATGAAAAGATGACACAAATACAATAAAAACTTAAATAAAAAATAATAAAATAAAAATGACATGAATAAAATAAAAACTAAACAAAAAATAAAATAAAAATGAAATGAATAAAACAAAATAAAAACTGAAACTAAAAATAAAAATGAAATTAATAAAATAAAATAAAAACTAAAACTAAAAAGTTAATAAAATAAAATGAAGTACAATAAAAAAATAAAGGAAATGAAATAAAATTATATTATCTGCTACTAAAATAAAAAACTAAATAAAACTCTTTAGTTCAGTTCACTGTTTCTATATACATTATTATTACTTTAAAACTGAAATGTTTTTTTCTAAACTATCAAAACATCTTCAACATCCAAATCAGAAAACAATTTCTATCAATATTGTCTAAACCACAGGTGTCAAACTCAGTTCCTGGAGACTGAACAAACCCTCCACACACAGTGCTCCAACACACTTAAGCTGCGGCCAGGGGCGGATTTTATCAATAACAATGTAAGCAGCTGCTTATTTATTAAGGGCCCCAGGACATCTGAGGGCCCTCAATAAATATCTAGAAGTGTAATTTTTTACCCCATATATATATATATATATATATATATATATATACACACACACACACACACACACACACACACACACACATTTTCTATCATATTTTGTATAGTGAGAGTCCAACAAATACATTTTTACATCATTAAAATATTAATATAAAATAAAACAATGTTATTATAATGATGGAATGTCATGTAAATACAGTATTTGCTTTGTTTTGTTTTTTTTTCTCTCTAAAATGTATTGTTTTTAGTTGCAAATTCATTTCAAGAAAAAAATCATTTAAAATGTAAAGATTGCATTAGGATTAAATGTAGAAAAGAAGATTGAGGGACATAAAAAACAGCTAAATAAATAAAAATGGAAAAAATTAAAAAATGAAAAAAATTTAAAGTAGAAAGAGTGCATTTCAGGACTTGGGTCCCATGGCTGGAGTTGCTCAGGGCCCCCAAAGTACTAAATACGTCTCTGGCCATGGTCACACAGGACTTTTTGCCCCATAGACCTCGATTCATGCGCTTGTGAATGAACAGTGTCAGACCTGAAACGCAAACTTTTGCAACAAGTTTCAAGCTTGGTGAACTCTGATCTGCAAAATTGCATCACGTGACTACACGAGACCAATCGAAGATCAAAACATGACCTCTTGGACAGCAGAGACCAATCGTTTGCTTTTTTTTCCTCTTTTCACAACGACATACAACAGAACTCAAACTCTAGTGTGACCGCAGCATCGACTTTAGGTTTCGAACAAGCCTGAAGGACTTAATAAGTATGTTCAGTTGTGTTTAATTAGGGTTGGAATCAAACTGCGCAGAGCTGCGGCCCTCCAGGAGTTTGACATGATCTAAACAATGGTCTGATTTTAGCGAATGTCTATCATATTGTTTAAGCAATTTTAGAATTTTCTAATATTTCTCAATGCTTCAAAATACTAAAAAGGCTTAAATTATTAATGTTATATCTGCAGACCAACATTTTTATCATTAAACATTGTTAAAGCACATATCAAGGCTCCAAAATTCAATTTAAAAGCATACAAATAAACTGAAAGCACCTACTTTGAAAATGAGCTGCTTATAAAACCAATTTATAATCTGTTTCCTCTGAGGACGACACTTATATGAAAGATAACTGATGAAATATTGAACACAGGAGCACATCATGCACTACCTCCTCTCAGCATTGCCTTCAACATAACAAGGTTTCCCAGTTAATTGTGTCCAATAACAATATATTCACGATATCAATTTCAAAAGGGAACCTATAAAATTGAATTTCATGGAGATGCAACACCTTTTATCTTGCATAAATGAAAGAATAACTGATTCTGGATCAGCGCAGCGCATCTCCTGGCTCATAATTTCCACAAACCCCCCCCCCTTTAGCTCTTCCCCAGGGGATTTCTACCAATTGTTGGCCTGTTTTCAGAATCGCTGATGGGAGCCTTACACCCACTGGCTGTATATTTCCCTGGGGTCCGTGTTGTTGAAAGACAGGCCCATGAATCCTCTGACCTTTCGGTGAGAATCTTGAACGCTTTCCAGAACTTTGAGTACAAAAATGGGGAAAGAAATGGAGCGAGGCGGCCGGTGTTTTGCAGTGCGAGTGGGTAATAGCACAAAGTCACATGTCAGTAACAGAGAGTTTATTTTCTGGCTGATGCTGCCATTGGTGCAACTTACTATTACAAATGTTTAGCTTTGCTAGGGCCAGACACTGCAGGCAAACACAGTTTTTTGATGAACCTAACAATTTTGAGATGACTTTTTCAGTCCAATGAAATAAAACATCTAAAATACATTTTTTTAAAGTGTTTATTTTGTAGTGCTTTATGTCTAATTTTTACATACTGGAATGTTTATACAGAACATCATTTACCTGATTATTATTATATATGACAACAATATCAGATTTTTTGATTTGTTTGTTTCATTTTTCTAAGTGGAGTGGTAAAAATTTAAGCCAAACAAGATAAGACTTCATCCACTTGACTTGTTTCACATTTACACGTAACATTTTGGAAAACTTGTAATGCAAAAAAATAATAAATAATAATAATGTTTTCAGTTTTATACTGCAATCCTTTAACTGCTGAAATTGTGTGAGACTTTTTTATTTAATTTCAATACCAATAATATAAATAATAATACAAGAAATGTATATGTAAAATGTTTCTAATTGTATATATTTGTATTACGTTTAATTTCATTAGTATTTATTTATTATTTTATTTATTATTTTTATTTAATTGATATTTTTTATTTAATTTCAGTTACTTTTCAGTTATTTTTGATTTATTATTTTATTTCATTTTATTTATTTTTTAATTGAAAAAGTTCTTGTTTTATATTTACACTTAGCATTTTAGAAAACTTGTAATACAAAAAATGCTTGCCATTTTTAATGCAATCATTCAACTGTTGAAATTGCGGGTTAAACTTTTATTTAACTTTTAATATCATTTAACTAGTATTTATTCATTGTTTTATTAATTGTTTTTTAGTTAATTTTTAATTTAATTAATATTTTTTACTTTAAATTTATTTTCATTTTTTCAATTTTTTCCTTTTAATTTAATTTAATTTAATTTAATTTTATTTTAATTTAATTTAATTTAATTTAATTTAATTTAATTTAATTTAATTTGTTGTTTTCAATGCCCCCTCCATGTCTTGCCATAGGTAATAAAATGAATGGCAAAATTGTATTCAAAAGTCAACACTTGAGGTGCATTAAAACCTTGTAAACCTATGACTTTTTATTTTTTATTTAATTTATTGTTTTACTTTTTTTGTTTTTACTTTTATATTTAATTTTATATATTATATATATTATATTTTATTAAATTAAATAAAATTTCTTTAAAAAATTATTTCATTTAATTGTTCTTTAATTGTATTTAGTTTTAATTTAATTGATTTAATTTTTTTATTTTTACTTACATTTTTATTAAACAAATTAATTTAATATTACATTTTTATGCCATTTAATTTAGTTTTTATTTGATTGTATTTAATATTATTTTTCATAATTTTATGTATTATTTATTTTACTTTTAATTTATTTAATTAATTTCTTTTTAATTAAATTTTTATTTATTTTTGTTTGTTTTACTTTAACATTTTATTTCATTTAATAAAATTTTATTTTAAATTAAATTCAGTTTAATTTAGCAATTTTTTCATTTAATTTATTTTTTAATATTTATTTCATTGTATTTGCTTTTATTTTCTTATTCTGAATTTAATATAATTTAATTTAGTATTAAATCTGTATTAAATTCTCCCTCTATGTCTTGCCATAAGTAACAGAATGTCAACAGAAGTCAAATTTGTTGACTGCTAAAAATATGACAAACGGTGATCTATAAGATGGATGATGTTAAGTATTTGGTAAATTCAGATTTAAAGTTAAGATAAAAATAATTTAACTGTTCAAACAAAAACAACAAACCAAAAAAAAACCTGATTCTTTTCAATGGAGGCTGTTTTTTTCTTCCTCAAAAGTGAGGAGATCTTTCGAGCCATGATTGCTGGAGAGCAATTATCCAATTATCTTCCATAAGGCTTTCAGCATCACTGGTGGAGCATAAAAGCCCAATCTTTCAACAATATATAGTGCTGACAAGTCTCCGCTCTCAAGAAAGCAATCAAAGTAATTACCCAGAACAATCTAGGAAACGCTATATAACACCCAACAGAGTCTAGAGAAGGAAATCAGCTGAAAGACCAATATGTAATCAAATATAAGCAGCGGCGCCTTACGCTTATCAAGCAAATCATATCAAAATAGCTGGAGACAGAGTGTCATGCAACAGTTACTTACCTAAAGTTAATTGAGTGATGTAAACGATGACGCGGGAGCCAGGCTTCAACTCAAACTCCACTGAAATCTGATTTAATGCATTGACCAGGATTTCAGATATCTAGGAAGCAAACAGCATTGAGAAGAGTTACAAATATATGTTTGAATTCTAGATTGTCTAATGGAAATTTTTAATTCTGCCCTGCTTTGAAAGCTTTGACTGCTTGGATGGTGAATAAAATAATGTATTACTAAATTTATGGTAAATCTAATGCTCATGTTATGCCATAAAATAAATAAATAATTAATTAAATAAATAAATAAAATTAGAAAATTAATTTAAAATGAAAAAAATAAAATTCAATTAAAATGTTATCCCTCATGTTCAAGTAAAATAAAACAAAATAAAATTATAAAATAAATTTAAATTAAATTCAAATTATAAAATTAAATGCTATTAAAAAGTTATCCCTCGTGTTCTATTAAAGTAACAAAAATAAAAAAATGTAACAAAATTACAAAATTAAAGTAAATGAAAATTATATAGATAATTCAATTAAAAAGCTACCCCTCATGTTCAAGTAAAATTAAATTAAATTATTATTTTGTGTTCTATTAAAATAAAAAATTTTTAAAAATTAAAATTCCAAAATTAAAGTAAATAAAAATTATATAGATAATTCAATTAAAAAGCTACCCCTCATGTTCAAGTAAAATAAAATTAAATAAATTTATTATTATTTTTTTTAATTTAAGTTGTCACTTATGTTCAAGTACAATAAAATATCCCAAATTAACAATACTTAAATCATCTCTCGTGTCCATAAAAAAAAAAAAAAAAAAAAATGTGCTGCAGGCTTGCATTAACAATTGTAAAAAGTAGTGTTAGAAAAAGATGCACAAATTAATCTCTATTGTAAGTTTCTGATAGATAACATCAATAACAATAACATTTGCAAAATAATCAAACCTTGTTATTCCTAAAGAACTTTTAGGAACTTTTATTTTGACAACACCAATTATGTAATATTTGTTTTAACCATTGTTATAAAAACATGCATGGCCTGACTATAAAATAAGGTTCCATTCATGTTAGTTAATGAAATAAAACTAACTAAAATGAATTAATAATAGATAATATATATTCTGCATTTATTAATCATATTTACTTAATTTCAGTATTTAATGCCTTATTAAAATCCAAAGCTGTGTTATTAAAAATGCTCAATGGGCTGTATAATAAATAAATAAATAATATTGTTCCCAAAAAACTCAAGAATTGTAATGATCAGTAACGCCCTAATACCACTCAAACATCCTTGTAACGATTAATCTTCCCAAAAACCAATCGAACACCCTAATAACTAATGATCAATGCCCTAAAACCACTCAAACGCCCTAATAACTAATGGCCAATGCTCTAATACCACTTAAACACCCTAGTAACGCATGATCAATGTCCTAAAACCGCTCAAACACCCTAGTTAATAACAATCAATGCCCTAAAACCACTCAAACATCCTAGTAAATAACAATCAATGCCCTAAAACCACTTAACCACCCTTAGTAACTAGCGGCCAATGGCTTAAAACCACCCGAACACCCTAGTAACTAGCGATTAATGTCCTAAAACCACTCAAAACCCTAGTAACAATCAATGCCCTAAAACCACTCAAACACCCTAGTAACTAACTTCAAATGCCCTTAAACCACTAAACAACCTAGTAACTAACAACCAATACCCGAAAACCAATCGAACACCCTTAGTAACTAGCAATAAATGCCCTAAAACCACTCAAACACCATACTACCTAACTTTTAATGCCCTTAAACCACTCAAACACTCTAGTAACAAATGATCAATGCTCTAAAACCACTCAAACGCCATAGTAACTAGCGATCAATGCCCTAAAACCACTCAAACACCCTAGTAACTATTTCAGCACATTTTAAGTAAGTAGTCTGAACAAACAACAAACATCTTTTTTGTGTGTATGGGTACAGAATCAGCAAGTTTCTATTTAAAGTGTACAGATTATTACAACTTTATTGGCCATTACTATCAGAAACATCCATACTGGTTGAGGAATGCCTTGTAAAGCCCTGCTTAACAATGCTTGACCCTGGAAAGTGTATTACTTTCAAATGTCCCTACTGTAAAAGACACTTGTTGTGACACGTCCTTGTCATGTAAGCCTAATTAGACTCTGCTCTTTCGGGCTTAGAGATAATTATGCCTTTAAGGATAAAGCAAATAGGTAAAAAAAAAATGTCAAACCGTTCCCTTTGGGATGTTTCCGACACGTCGTCTCTTTTTACGCTGACGAAATTACGTTCAGTGTCGCCTCGGGTAAAAGCTGCTCTTTACTTCTTCGTCAGGTTCATCTTTCTCACCTTGAAAATCTGCAAGTGCATCTCACTAGGTGCCTTCCTTTTAAATGTCAGTGGACTTCGAAGTAAACTTCACTAGATATTACACAATCTTAAGGCATTGAAATTGATAAAGGGAATAATGGAGTATTGAAACATCACTTTGCAGAAAGTAGAGATTGGTGAAACTTACCCTCGAGTTATTGTGCATCAGAGATATTTAAACTGAAGCAATGGGATACTCCCTTCCAAACATCCATTACTTTAAGCATTAATAATAATAATAATAATATAAATAATGTCCTATTGATCAATAGCCCTAAAACTAAAATGCTCTAGTAGCTACTGATCATTAGCCTTAAAACCAATCAAACACCTTAAATAAATAATGGTTGATAGCCTAAGACCAGTCAATCCCCTAGTAAGTAGAACTCAATGCCCTAAAACCAATACAAACACCCTAGTAGCTAATGATCAATGCCTTAAAAGCACTAGTAACTAGCAATCAATCCCCTAAAACCACTCAAAAACCCTAATAAACTACCGATCAATAACCTAAAACCACTCAAACACCCAAGCAAATAACAATAAATCCCCAAAATAAATCAAACACCCAAGTAACTAATGATCAATGCCCTAAAACCACTCAAACGACCTAGTAAGTACTGATAAATGCCATAAAACCTCTCAAACACCCTAGTAACTAATGATCAATCCCATAAAACCACTCAAGCATCCTAGTAACTAACGCTTGATGCCCTTAAACCAATCAAGCATCCTAGTAACTAACGCTCGATGCCCTTAAACCAATCAAGCACCCTAGTAACTAACGCTCAATGCCCTTAAAGCACTTAAACACCCTAGTTACTAATGACCAATGCCATAAAATTGCACAACACCCTAGTAAATAATCAATGCCCTAAAATCACTCAAACACCCTATTAACTAATGATCAAAACCATAAAACCACTCAAACACCCTAGTAACTAACAATTGATGCTTCAAAACCACTCAAACACTCTAGTTACTAACGTTCAATGTCACAAAACCACTCAAACACCATGATGAATGCCATAAAACTACTCAAACACCTTAGTAACTAATGATCAATTCCCTAAAACCAATACAAATACCCTTGTAACTAGCAATCAATGCCCTGAAAACCAATACAAATACCCAATGAACTGGCAATCAATGCCATAAATCTTCCCAAAAACCCTAGTAACTAATAATCAATGCTCTAAAACCACTCCCAGTACTGTTTTCCAGCATCGGCTGGGCATCCGCTGTGTAAAACATTTGCTGGATAAGTTGGCTGTTCATTCCGATGTGGCAACCCCTGATAAATAAAGGGACTAGGCCAAAGGTATATATATATATATATATATATATATTTTTTTTTTTTTTTTTTTAATTATTATTATTATTATTTTATTAATATTAAACTACTAGTTTTACACATGTATATATAAGTAAATGATACTTAAAAAAAAAAAAAAAAACTTTTTGAAGGGCATTTGAGGCAAGCGCATCCCATAATGCTTCATGTCTTGGATATTAATTGTGAGAATTATTTTAATCAGACATCGTGAAGTTTAGGTTGTGAATTTTGTAAAGCTTTTGAAACTGTAGTTTTTGGACTCAAGCGTCAGTCTGACCTGCTCCAGATCCTCCTCAGTTTGTTTCCTGCCATTCGATTGGTTCCTTGGTGGAAGCAGGAAGAGTTCGGCAGCGGTCGGGATGCCTGGAAAAACTGCCACCAGCAGCTGCTCTTCCGGTACGTCAGCGACCTGGACACAAAACGCCAATAATTACATACAGCTCAATGATTTATACCTCACTGTCTCCCAACATTTATGAGGTATACATTCATTTTAAACGAGGCTGATGGCTTCCAGTAAATCACATTTGATTTATAACTCGAATGAATCTCCAGCCCAGACGCAAACGTGCAAGGTCAGTAAAGTCCAAACCTCTATATATTGTTCTCCTTTTTGACAGTGTTTTCTGTAAGTTACCGCAAAAATACGTCTAACAGTGTATGTTGAGTTGCATTTGCAGCCATTATTATTGTGCAATTCTTAACAGCTAATTTGCAAACCCTGGCAATGGCCATGAGTGGTCACACACACACTGAATTCCAAGCAGAAAAAAACTCAATAAATATCTCTGTCAGGAAGCTACTACAAAATGTAAAGGCTGCCCCCAAGCCAATACAAAAAAAAAAAATAAATAAAAAAATCCCACCATGTGATGCTCGCTAAAGGCCATTTCCCTCATAAAGAGGAAATCTTCCGACCTCAAGTAAATAATCGTTGTTTTATCTGGTACCTCCACGCACACAGGGCTCAACCTGTAATAAGACAATAGCTCCAGAACAGGCAGACGGCCTAAGCATAATTTACAATGAGCTATGTGTCCAGAGCCGAAGCGGTCTTACAAAATCGATACTCCGAGTCTAAGTTTGTCCTGCAATATCGGAGAAAGAAAAAACCCTGGGGCTCATTGAAGGATTCGGGCCTATATGCGCGACGTGCTGCTGATATTCCAAATGATTAATGCGCATCTTCAAGCTTTACTTCACCGGATTGAACACACACACACACTCCTGCTGGTTGAATTAAAGTCCAAGAAGGCAATTAAGACAGCAAAAAGAGAGACGTAACATTGCGGTGCTCTTAATTACAGCCTGCTAATGGCTTAAGAGTCGTCATTGTAATTAAACGGCTTAATGTCAAAACATTTCCTTTCACAGAACTGTGGAATAACAATAAAAAGGCACAGATGCAATAATAGATTATTGCCGAGTTGATAAAGACACGTTGTTTAAACATCTGTTGTTTTGTTTGCTGTCATTGTAGTTCATCTTTGTCTGTTTAAGTCGATTCCTGCTCGGCTGTGTGTTATATCGACTCGAAATGAAAATTAATTTAACGCAACACTTCTGTTTATTCACAACTTGATTCGATATATACAGTTAAAGTCAAATTGTTAGCTCTCCTGTGAACTCATTTAATTACCAAATAATGTTTAACAGAGCAAGGAATTCACAGTATTTCCTATATTTTTTTCTGCTGTATAAAGAATTCCTTATTTGTTTTATTTCGGTTAGAATGAAAACAGCTATAATTTTTTAAAACTATTTTAAGGTCAATATTATTAGCCTCTTCAAGCATTATCAAAGACTATAGAATACACAAGACGTGTCACTCGTATAGTTTTGAATAGGGAAAAGTGTAACAGTCAATATAGCGAATGAAGCCCCGCCTACTAGTACAACAGTTTGGTGGTCAACAAACGCACTGGAATCTCAGCAAATACTTGCTTCACAGACATAAGAAATATCTCTAAATAAAGCTTGAAATTTTTACTTTTAAATGAATCAACTACACTTGAAAACAAAAGTTTTTGGGTTTTGTAATCTGTATGAAACTAATGTTAGATACAGTCCGTCCTGTCAAACGCACATCACATGACAGCAACTACTCGAACGCATACAAACTTGCAAACAAAGAGTGGCTGTCATTTCTGGAGGAGATTCGCCATCAAGACCAAGTTGTGGGTTACTTCAAAAGACCAGCACGATCTGACAAAGCATTATTCAGAGGATGATGTGCTGTGTCCTAATTCGCATACTATCCATCCTAAATAGTATTCGAAAATAGAATTAGTATGCCCCAAACTATAGTATGTTGAAAAGAGTATGCCAGAGGTTCCCGGATGGTTTACTATGTCTGGAAAAAAAAAAAATTTAAGTGTTGAAGTGTCCATACTCTAACCACTGATATTGCCCACAGTACATTGCGCGTTGGACGTGAATATGATTAGAACTACAAAGTCCTGTAAAGAGACAAAAAAAAAAAAAACTACAAACATGGCAGATGCACGACACCAACCGTCAAGTAGAGAGGCTTTGGTTAAGTTGTTTGAATGACAATTAAAATCTAGCCTGAAAAATATTTAAATTGCGTTTTTCTTGTCATATTTCATCTGCAACAACAATGTGAACTCATATCAAGATATGTTTGGACATTAACTTCTGAATGCATAATTATCCAAAGAAGACCTGAGGAGATTTCTCTGCATGAGAGACTCGCGAATGGCAGATTACCCTGCTGTTGTTTCTCCAATAAGGTAGATAATTAAATATGAAAGAAATGTGGATGATGTGTTGATGATTATCAGGGGATGTATATAGCAACATAACGCTCTGTTGACGAGGAAGTAGTATCTCCCAAAGCTTGCATTCTCTTCTGTTACACACTCAAAAGTATAGACTTTTCCTTCACAAAAAGAGCATACACTTTTAAGGCGTAACAAAAGTGTGCAAATTGGGATGCAGCAATTGTGTTAAACGGCCTTAAATGAGCATATCAAACACCCTAGTAACTAACGACCAATGGCCTAAAACCAATCAAACATCCAGCTAACTAACTAATGATCAATGCCCTAAAAGCACTCAAACACCATAGTAATTAATGATAAATGCCCTCAAACCACTCAAACACCCTAGTAACTAACAATTAATGCCCTAAAAGCACTCAAACATCCTAGTTACTAACAATGATTGCCCTAAAACTACTCAAACACCCAAGTAACTAGCAACCAATGCCCTAAAACCTGTCAAACACCTTAGTAATGAATTATCAATGCCTTAAAATCAATCAAACACCCTATAACTAATGATCAGTGCCCTAAAACCACTCAAAAACCCTAGTAACTTATGATCAATGCCCTAATACCACTCAAACACCAGAGTAACTAACAATCAATAGCCTAAATACACTCAAATACCCTAGTAACTAGCAACCAATGCCCTGAAATCACTCAAACACCCTAGTAACTAGCGATCAATGCCCTAAAAGCACTCAAACTCCCTAGTAACTAATGATCAATGCCCTAAAAGCACTTAAACTCCCTAGTAACTAATGATCAATGCCTTAAAAGCACTCAAACACCCTGGTAACTAATGATCAATGATATATATATATATATATATATTGTGCATTGTAAGTCAATTCGTCTAAAAGTTGTACAGTTTGTGGAGAGTTATTATAAAGGGACACATTTTGCACAGCATGGGTTGGCTTTTTTTGCCGTGCAGAAGTGTGGTGTGCTCACGCTGGGAGTTCATATTAGGTAAATATGTCTGCATGTGGTGCAAATGGAAATGCCGTACTTCCTGTAACAGAAATATACTTTCACCTCTATGAAGATGAAAGTCTTCGTGCTGCTGGAGGAACCGCTCATACATTAGCACAACATATATACATTCATGTTCATAAGTTCAGGGTTGCTGAGATTTATTTATTTTTTTTACATTTTAGAGATGTTTCTTACAGTATGTTCAGCAAGGCAAAATGTATGTAAAAGGGTAAAACAATCATTTTAAATAAAATGATTGTTTTATTTAAATAAATTTAGCCTTAAATGTATCAAATTTTGCTTTCTATTTTTGTGTGATATGACCTTTCATAAAAATATCAATATCATGATTTTTTGGTTAAAATATTTAGCATCATTATTATCAGTAGTTGTAGTAGTAGTAGTAGTAGTAATAGTATTAGTATTATTTTTTAATTAAAATTGTTGTGGCAGTCTATAATTTGTATATAATAATGTATATTTATTTAAATGAGAGTGTATTTATTTAAAATGGGTTATTAAGCATAACAATAATGCAAAAACACCCAAAAATGTTTTATCAAATATATTTCAATCTTAAAATATCCTAACACAAACAGTACTGCTGATGACACAAACTAACTTTGCCATCTGAATGAACATAAACAAAGAACACTGACCAGCACACTTACCAAATCTGTAGAGACAGGACAATCAACACGAGCTAGAACTGCATCTTTTTTTAAAAGAAGACGAGCGATAAATCTGGATTTCACCATTTCCAGATGCGAAAAGCTCTTGGGTAAAAAATGTTCCCTACAGACGTATTGTTGTCATGTGTTAGTAATCCACACGTGAGTCCAGCTGGTACTAGCAGGGAATTGAAAACAAAACCTTCATTGCGGCACATTTATAAATGCAACACTGAGGACCCATGTCTCTGAACAATTCTTCTTCCACTTGTTTTAATTACGATTGGCAACACAACGTGGTGTCTCTCTGCCATCTGAACACTGTAACAGGTAAAAACAGTCTTCGAAGCTTTCATGCATATTAATGAAGTTGCACCTCATGCACAATAGAGTGTGCTGATTGGCAGTCTGGAAAGACTTGGAAATCTTTCTCATGAATTAATGCTGAAAGCTTAAAGACGTCACGTTGTACTCGCCGGTATAGACATCCAGTCTACACACTGGAATATACGCAAGGATCTAATCGCCGTGACGTAGCTTCAACATTTCTTTTCAAACCCAAAGAATGAATTTGCTCGAAATAACTTAAAAACAACCAAATTTTCACCTTTTTAGTGAAATATATGTCCCCTAATAGTGTTTTTAGCAGCGTGGGACACATATATGACTGTCAACATGTCAAAAAACGTGTTTTAGTGTTTTGTGACCCTTTAACGACGGCCCTCCAACAGACAGTTTTGACAACAAACAGAAATTGCAAATAGAAAGTGTCTGTTAGGTTGCAATAACTGTCCCAAAACCCTTTTCCCAAATTTTTCGAATGAAACGCCTGCTTTACTACATCCAATCAGCTCGCAGTAGAAAAATACAAACTACGCCCACTTTTTTTTTTTTTCATTTATTTAATATTCGTTTTCTCTAGGAACTGCACCACAATATGAAAACAACAACAACAACAACAACAACAAAAAGTTAAACAATCACAGCTTATGGTTTATGTGGACTTTTAAAGAGTCACTAAAACTTACATACAACACCTTTAACCCCTGCTAATCTTCTCTTCTCCTCAGGCTGTTAAACAGCTATCGGCCGCTGCACCAGAACACACAACCATCGCCTGCCCATCGCCTAAAACAGCCTTCTCAAATGGACCTTGACTTTGATTATGTCTGAGTCTCTCTCGCTCTCTTTTTAATATGCTGAGCTGTTCATCAGCGACCGTATGGATGAAGTGTATCTGCTTCCTCTAGGGCTCTACGGGATGCGCTTTAAATGCAGCAGGATAAATGAAAGGAACGGCTGAGAGAGAGTCTCTTTACCATGAGGGCTCAATATTAAACCATTAGACTTTGAACTTGATGTTGAAACAATGGTGTGGGGGAAAAGTTGAAGATGGTTTTACTTGTGGAGAACTCTGGGTAAAGCCAGGGAAGGCAGACTGGCAGATAATGAGTGAGAAAAGGAGGGAGCGCATGTTGAAGACGAGCAGATCTGAGATCAGTCGCCTCTTTGTGCTGAGCGATCCTGGCCTTGTTCTCTACACTCTTGAGTTCAGGTTTAATTGTGATATTTAGGGAGGATTTTTTTTTCTGGGTGCATGTCTGAAATAGAAATTGAATTTAAATAGCATGGTGAGAACAGTTTTTCTAAAGAAAAGGGGGGAAAATCACTTTAAACAAGCTTAAGCTGGTTGATTTAGCAGGTTTAGTTGATCTTTCTGATTTAACCACCCCACTAAAACAACTAAAAACATCTCTATCTTTAAAGCAAATTTAGCAGACCAGGATCTTCATGCATAATGCATTTTTTTTAATAAAACAAAATAAAATAAAATAGTAAAAAAAAAATTATAAATAAAATAATTGGTTAATTATTAATTGAAAAATAGCTAAATTAAATAATAAAATAAATAAATGAATTAACTAATAAAATACTTAGTTAATTAATAAACATTTTTTAAATATTTTTTAATTAAAATAAAGAAATAAACTAAGTATTAAATAATAAAATACAATAAAGTAAAATAAAATAATTAGTTAAATAATTATTTCATTATAAAATATAAAAAAATAATTTCTTAATTAAAATAAATAAATTAACTAATTGGTTCAAAAATAAATAAAATAATAAGTCAATAAATTAATTCATAAAATAATAAAATTGAATAAATAAAAAAATAATAATAATTAGTTATTTAATTAAAATAAATTTAATAAATAAACTAATTAATAAAAATAAATAAATAATTAGTTTATTAATTCATATAAAATATTTAAAGAATTAAAACAATTAGTTATTTAGGTAATTAAAACAAGATAATTAAATTAATTAATTAACTAATTATTTTAAAATAAAATAAAATAAAATGATAGTTTGCACGCACCAAAAGTTGCTAAGGACTTTTATTTTAGCATGGTGATGTATTTCCAACTGAAAAGGAATATTAAGTATGGGGCAGATTTTTCTTTTGTGTGCTCCTCCTCTCATTTTTTACAGCAAAATAGTAGCTGGAGGGTCGTGGCTAAACATATGTTGCCCAAACTGTCAAACTGATACTAATAAACAAAAATACAAAAAAGTTAAGAAAACACAATTTTAAATAAAAAAAGGAAGCTTTATTAGTCAATATAAAAAAAAATCTAATAAATAAATAAATAAAGCATGATGAAGTATTTCCAAAAGAAATAAAATATTGAGCATAGGGCGGGCTTTTCTTTTTTTGAGCTCTTCCTCTCATCTTTCACTCGCAGCAAAACAGTCGTTGGAGGACTGTGGCTTTACAAATCTCAAGGTGTCAAAACGACATCATCAGAAAAAAACCTACCATTCCAGAGAGGAAGCAAGTGCTCCGATTTTGATTAAAGATTACCAAAACAAACATAAAGTGTTATAAAGTGTTATTTCATTGGTTTCACTAAAATTAATTATTCACTAAGATTAATTGTCCATCTTAGGACTAACAATATACACTAGTAAAAATAAACCCATGCCCACTTTAAATGCTTAAACAGCATGCCATACAAACACACAAACACAAACACTAGGAGTGATCAAAATGGCAGGCCTTTTACATCAACACCAAACACCTCCAGGAAGACTGATGAACTTACTCACGCTGGGTGAACTTTACCGCCTAGCGATTCACAAGAAACAATATGCAAATCAGTTGACACCGCCTGATGGGTCAGTTTTGAGTGTTAGGTCAGTATTGGATACACTGAATAAGCTAATATGAGAGATTATATTAGCTGTCATTATTGGGGAAAATAAACACAAAAATCTCTTTAAGATGCAGTTTAATTCAGGCGGCTTTCTGCAGGCGCTAATGCTAATTGCACCAAAATAGGCGCTGAGTTTTGATATCTATAATAAGCCTAATTTACATATAAGGAACGTGTGTTTGTGCTGAATTGCAAGACAATGGCTTCATTTAAATACAGGCACGATGATATTGCAGTGCATTTAGTGCCTGATTAAATGGATTATATAATAAGATGACTTTTTTAACGGAATATGTCGAAAATGATGCAACTGTTGAGTGAATTTGTCCTTCTGTGTGATGAAAACACTGCAACTCCAAATTAATTTTCTTTATCAGTATTTCTTGACTTGTTTACCAGTGGATGTGTTTAAATATGAATATCATGATTTTTTTTTTTTTCTTGTTTAAAGCATACATCAAAGAAAACATATTCCAGGGTAAATTGATCTTGTTTCGGAGCTGTTTGCGGTTCCCTGATGTGATGGAAGCTTTAATTAAAATGGTATTAAAATATGTATAGATATATCCTAATCAGTATTTCTTGTTGTGTTTTCTAGTGAACTTAATACATGCCAAAATTTCTTCTTAGTTGTAAGCGTGCATCAAAGAAAACACGAAGAAAAAACTAATTGCCAATGAGGTAAGCAATAAGATTTTTATTAAAATGATCCCGCTAAGCCAAATGCTGCAACTGAAGCTGTATTATTATAATCATAATAATAATAATAATAATGATAATAATAATAATAATAATTATTATTATTATTATACATTTAATATAGGATTTATATGAAACCCAAACATAGATGACATTTTTTAAGCATATGTAATAAAACAATTTGTGTAATAATAATAATAATAATAATAATAATAATAGTAATAATAATAATGAACAAAAATACTAATAAATTAAGTAAAGAAAATTTTAATAAAACATGTTTTTAGAGCAAAGTCTTTCTCGGATATAATGGAAACTTTACTGGTCAATATTTAATTTAATAAACAGTAATTTAATATGCTAAAAGACATCATAATGTTGTAAGATGACTTCTACACAATGACAATACTTGAATTTATGACACTAATATTTAATTATAAATAACTGATATTACAGACAAAAGTTGCCATAGTTGTAGTGCAATAAAATAAATGAATAATAATGAAAAATATGATAAAAAAATAATCATTTAAAACATAATTTAAAAATCTAACTACCTGACAGAATATGCATTAAAGCAAAATTAATTTAAAAAGCATGAAAAAAATTATATATTATATAAAATTATATACACACACACATACACACACATATATACAGCTTTAAATGTATCTTATTTTAAACATTATCCAAACATTTGTCTTAAATTTGAATGAATAAAATTAAAATAAAAAAACAAAATAACAAAAACGTAAAGCTACATATATGTATCGTATTTTAACATTATTCAAACATGTATCTTAAATTTGAATGAAATATGTAACATCTACATTAAATTTTATATTTGAATATCCGTCCATATAACTGTTCATTAAATCAAGACGCCCGAATTGAATTTCCAATTACGACCACTCCATTCCTATTCCTGCTTATTTATCAAATGCAGATGTATGCCTTCAATTTCCAGCATTTACATGTATGTAGAGATAATTGTATTGCTGTACATCCTGTGTGTATTAAGCGTTTAAACCTGCATTGGCACATAACTAACGCGCTTTAGACCTGCTTTCAGCTGGTCAATGGTGTGGTCTATTTCAGTTCCTCAAAATAACACACTTAACACACCTCCTTTTTAGACCAGCACTCCCATGAGCATTGCTAAGTGGTGCAAATTTATTTGCCACTTAAATAATGTGGCGCAAAATATGAAAATTAGGGTTGCGCTGGTCTGAAAAATAGCAACAAACAGCATCAAACAAGTAATGCATATTGCGCTGGGTGTATGAAAGGGCCCTTGTGTTTTTAAACAAAAAAAAAACAACTGAAAAGAAAAGTACAAGATGAAACAAAGAAAAAAAAATGACAAAGAACAAACCAAAAGACAAGAAGAAGTGCACACTTCTGACGGTGAACCCTGTGAACCACAGAGAAAAGAGAAACGATACTGGAAAAGCCTGGAAAAGCTAGCTAGAATAAATCCACACACTCACTTGAAGAACAGCCTTCTTAATTACGCGAGCCACATCCAGTCTCCACTCGGGGATGTCAGGGTTGGCCTCGTCCAGATTCGGAGAGAAAGATAAAAGCAGCGATTTGAAGAATTCTGTCACAGATGGAAGAGAGAAGCAGAGACAGACCCTTAATTCGGGATCTCATAAGATGGCCAACACCTTCTATCTGCCGTGATTTGTTCCAGATGATTTAGTCGAGCCGTAGCAGAGTTATCATTACTGACAGGTATAGAAAGGTTAGCGCTGATCACAAAAAATGATTACGGTCTATTTGGCAGTTGCCAGAAGGGAGGCTTTCTTATGACTGGCTCGTGGTGTCAAGAGACAATTTCCTGTAATTCGGAATGCTCAGAAACATCCGCTAATATATTCGATCAAGGTGAGGGTTATTTATAGATACACAGATATACACGTACATATAGTGAATTGTTTGCAGCATTTAAATCAGCTAGCATGCGGAGTTCTGTTGTCAACATGATGGTGATGGAAGAGACATTTAGCAAATTACTGGTATAAAATTAGTTCTCTTGCTGATTTTAATTCTGTGGCTAGAGTTTTACAGAGCGCATTGTGAACAAATGAAATTATATTTATGTAATGATCTATATTAAATTTGACAACATTAAAATTGACATATTTATTTGCTTTGAATTAAACATGCAGTCGAAACTATTAGTCCTACCTCAGTTTTTGACAAAACCAAATAATAGCTGGATGAATAGAGGTGGGTATAATAATAATAATAATACTGCTACTGCTACTACTACTACTACTACTACTACTAATAATAATAATAATAATAATAATAATAATTCCTTACATTTATATAGCACTTTTCTGGACACTCAAAGTGCTTTACACATTTTTTGGGGGGAATCTCCTCGCCCACCACCAGTGTGCTGCATCCACCTTGATGCTGCAATGGCAGCCATATTGTGCCAGACCGCCAGCTGACTGGTGGAGAGGGTTAAACCCCTACATACAATAGTTCTATATTTTTAACTAGGATATTTTTTTTTATAGTTTAAGAATAAAAATCTGTTTTTGGAATATATATACACTAAAGTGTTGTTTAAAAATGTTCAACTAAATTTGTTTGTTTATATTCAGCCCAAATAAATTGTTTACAACCAATTAACGTAAAAAAAAAAAAAAAAAAAATATATATATATATATATATATATATATATATATATATATATAGTTAATCCAAGGAATCATCTTTGAATAATTTTTTTCAGTGTACAGTTGAAGTCAAAATTACTAGCCCCACTTTGAATTTTTCTTTTTTTTTAAATATTTCATAAATGATGTTTAGCAGAGCAAGGAAATTTTCACAATATGTCTGATGATATTTCTTTTGTCTGGAGAAAGTCTTATTTATTTTATTTTGGCTAGAATAAAAGCAGTTTTACATTTTTTTAGAAAAAGTTTTAAGGTTAAAAATTATTGGCCCCCTTAAGCTATATATTTTTTTCGATAGTCTATAAAAGAAACCATCGTTATACAATAACTTGCCTAATTACCCTAACCTGCCTAGTTAACCTAATTATAATAACCTTATTGAAGCCTTTAAAGGTCACTTTAAGCTGTATAGAAGTGTATTAAATATATCTAGTAAAATATTATTTACTGTAATCATGGAAAAGATAAAATACATCAGTTATTAGAAATGAGTAATTAAAACTATTATGTTCAGAAATTTGTTTAAAAAGTCTTCTCTCCGTTAAACAGAAATTAAGGAAAAGCTAAACTAATAATTCCGCTGGGTCGCCACAACTGTGTGTGTGTATATATATATATATATATATATATATATATATATATATATATATATATATATATATATATAGTTTTATTATTATTATTAATGTAACAGATGCTAATACTATAACTAGCATTTTCACAGGATTTATCTTTAAAGTAAAACATTAGGTTAATAATTTTTCAAAAATTGCAACATTACCTTATGAAAAAAAATTCTGCTTAAGTTAAACTGGTTTAGAAGTATTTAGTGGTAGAAATTACTTGCACAGCACAAAGAAATCAAACAAACAAACAAACAAACAAACAAACAAATAAACAAATAAACAAACAAACAAACAAACAAACAAATAAATAACATGAAGAGAGGTACAGACCCCTTTGTTTATTTAACTTTTTTATATTATTAAAAATACCATAATTCACATATTTATATGATTTTTAAAACAGTATAAAAATAAATTTATGAATGAATGAATGATTGATTGAATGAATATGCGAACAAATGATCAAAAGAATGAATGAATGAATGAATGAATGAATAAATGAATGAATGAATGAATGAATGAATGAATGAATGAATGAATGAATGAATGAATGAACAAACGAACGAATTAATTCTCACCCTGTATTGCGATGGTTCTGCTGTCCTGCAGTATTGAGTCTCCTGATGAGACCTGAACAGTCACAGTGGACATGCCCTCGCTGCTGAATGTGTGGGAAATGCTGCTGTCCAGCGTTACTATTGGCTAACAGCACAAACACGGCAAACACAAGACCAAAATCAGTCAAAACCCAACACTAAAGCACATAGAAAACCCTGTCTGTGAGATCCACGACTTCCTCAAACAACTTAGCTAAATGCTAAGAAAACTATAAAAATAATATACATTTGTACAGATGTACTATTTTGATGTCAAATCAACAGCAAAGCTATGAACAGGTGACCAAAGATTTTCATAATACACAATGAAATAAGCAAAAAAAAAAAGCGGACTAAAATAAATTAGCTAAAAACGAATAAGCTAAAAATGAATAGCGGCATCAGCTTCATTGATGTTTCCTGGAGAACAAGCATCAACTAAAGAACACATCCTAAACTAAATACCACAAAAAAATGACAAGAACAAGAGCTACATTATTAACGGTTCATCGCTCCGCTTCTGTTTATCTTCCACCGTAAAATGTCTCGAAGGCCTTCGCCCAACAAAGCAAGGCAGAAAATCTGTAATTAGGAGCCGGTTGTACCTCAGTGCTGTTCCCCAGCCACCAGAAATAGGTGAGCGTTCTGAAATGAGAAGGCCAGACCACTGTCGTCAGGTTCACCTCCTTATTCTTAATGACCACATATGGAGCCAACAGCTGAATATGCTCCACAGGGCCTGAAACACACACAAGAGCACACACATAGACATATATAGTCAATGAAGGAACAGCAAATAGGCAAAAGTGTTCAAAATAAATAAGTAAATAAATATATTTTTCATTTTTTAAGCCAATGGGTTGAGTAACTAGACAGAGTGCAATAAAACCCAAGCGGAACACAGGGGTCTTGAGACCTGTTTTTAAAAGATTGAGTATTTTTAACTTGGCACAGCATTTTCAAATGGTGGGATGCTTCAAAAAAATGAAAAATACAGCCAAGAAGTTAGTCAGCATGTGTACGGATGAAGCGGAGGTGTTTTAAAGAGGATGGATTCAAACGAGCTAGTTTTCCGGAAGTTTTGCTGGGTTAACTGTCTGAAGCACAACATGTCAACTGCACTAGCACTAAAAAGTGTGTAGAAGGATAGATATTATTATGGGTTACACTATTAAATGTATGCAAATGAGCTTTTGCTGAGCCTTTATTTGCTCACAATTAAATTATTATAAACATTACTAAATTATAATTTATCACAAAAAATTATTTGTTGTTATTTTCTAAGAAGATACAGTAAAAAAAAATCACCTTATTGTTTTATTTTTTTTGTTGAATCAAATGAACTTTTCTAGTCATCTCAAGTTATTTCAATCAAACTTCAATTCAATTCATGGTTATTTCTATAGTGCTTTTTGAATGTAGACTGTGTAAAGCAGCTTAACATAGAAGTTCTAGTAAATTGAAACTGTGTCAGATCCGTTTTCAGAGCTGATGTTCAGTTTAGTTCAGTTCAGTGTGGTTTAATTTTCACCGCTGAAAGTCCAAACACTGAGAGAGCAAATCCATCGATGAGCAGCTCCACAAGTCCCAAACCAAGCAAGCCAGTGGCGACAGTGGAGAGGACACAAAGATATTTGCACTCATGACTTTTAGTCATTTATTTTTTTTACAGTATACGTAGCTTAGTTTATAAGATTAATGGCTCCAGTTTCAAATAGTGATTCACTGATTCACTCATTCAAATAATTCATTCCAAACGGCCAATTTATTAGAAAACAAAACAGTAGCTGATTCTGGAATCCCCTAGTAGTCTGGCACATCTAGAAAAAGAAAAAGTGTGTTCTATATAGTACTAATGTGAAAAAAAAATGTGTTGAACAAATCTCTCTGTTAAACAGCAATTGGGAAAAAAAATAAACAGGGGGTCTTATAATTCTGACTTCAACTGTATATATATATATATATATATATATATATATATATCCGTATATGGATGGATGGATGGATGGATAGATAGATAGATAGATAGATAGATAGATAGATAGATAGATAGATAGATAGATAGATAGAATATTTTAAATCTTTAAACCATCATTTTGGATTGATCTAGTTTTTGAGTTGGCAAGCAAAAATGTTGTTTCTCTAATGGGATGTTTCAACCTAGATAGTCCCACCTCAGGTTTCATCTCAAGCTGCATTCATCCAGATGCATTGGAAAATCATGTTTTAGTTTGAATAAACTGCTCACTGAGATAATACAAAGAGAACGCACATCTCCCCACTCCACCATCAGTGTGCATGGATGATGCAACGGCTGCCACAGGACAATGGCGCCAGTGCGCTCACCACACACCAGCTATTGGTGGAGTGCAGAGACAGTGAGAGAGCCAATTCAGTGGATGGGAATGAGTGGAAGGCCATGAACGGAAAGAGCCTATGGAGGGATTTTGGCCAGGACACCAGGGTTACAATCTAACTTTTTGCGAGAAGTGTCATGGTATTTTTAATGACCACAGAGAGCCAGGACCTTGGATTAACCTCTCATCCAAAAGACAGCGCTCACTGACAGTATAGTGTCCCCTTCACTTTACTGGGGCAGTAGGACACACACAGACAGCAGGCTGAGCAACTTTGTTTTCCTATGTGGGATCCCATTCAGCTACTGACCAGGCTCAGGCCTGCTTAGCTTCAGTGAGTAACCAGTCTTGGGCTACAGGGTGATATGGCTGTGGACATTTTCAAGAACATTTTCAAAAAGTCTAAAAGGCTTAAAAAGAAAGAAAGAGTGGGACAGATTACTAAAAAAACTGACAAAAAAGTGATTTTACATTAATGGATGTATGACACAAACCTCCCATAGAGGTCACTTTCACAACCAAACGGTTTTCAATTCTGTGAATATGCATGGCCAACTTGAAAATGATAGAAATCTGCATGAGAAACCTTTTCCTTTATGCAAATCTCCGCATTTGCAGATTCCTATTGGTCATTTATTTATTTTTTTTTTATCTGAGCTGTACTATTCGTCCTTCCCCAGCTGCAATTTTAGCTCATTTAAATGGTCCGACCAATTCCTTTTTCTGTAAGTAATTGAATAAGTCAGCTTTATTCTTTACCGCACATCAGAAAATAAAAGTTGGACCCAATTGCTCTCATCTGATCACAAGTGCCCACCCACTGTTTATTTGTGAAAAGTGGAGATAAAAGCTGTAATTAAGCACCGCAGTCGACTACACCTGCAGAGACGGAGGACTCGTGCAGATTTTGGCAGATACACAGTATGAAAGTCACCTACCAAGTGCATCGTGCACATTATGTTGTGTGTGTGTTTAAGAGATGTTTATTCAAAGATTGCAAAGCAGTGTTTTGTCTCGACTGGCTGGGTGGTTGCCAGTTTATCTGTTTATAAAAAAAAAGAGTGTATTTAACAGAACCGACAAGACGGTCTCTGAGCGTTTGTATTATTTTAGCTAAACAGAGTGCAGCGTTGATTCATAATTGGGTTAATTAGAGGAATTATGCTTTTTGTTGCATTTTTAATAAGTGTGTTTTTTTTTTCTTTCTTAATATCAACACATCGTTACATAAGAGGTAAAAAAAAAAACTTATCTAAAAAATAAGCACTTTTTGGTGTTAAATGTGCATTTTAGAGTGTCTTAGTTTAAAAAATAAATTAAAATGTAAATACACACATACATATATATATACATCTATATACATATATAAATAATAATTATATTTTTTATGAAAATCTGTGCATTTTAGAGTGTCTTAGTTTAAAAAATAAATTAAAATGTATATATATATATATATATATATATATATATATATATATATAT